GAAGGCATCCATCGCTGCAGGAGATGCACCTAGACTGTCCTACAATGAACACTCGGGGACGGCCTTGCTTTCAGGCCTCATGACATTTTTGTCTTTGACAGGGTGCAAACTTCGCACTTTTTCTAGTGTAAATACGAGTTTTCCTAACAAGTTTCCACTTTTCCATATGTTCTGGCTTTCTTGGGAAGACCTTCAACATGATGGATTGACACAGTGAACCTGTCAGATACTGAGGAGGGCACCTAAGGTTAGGGCAAGGTTCTGATCTGTTGTTTATAGTGTTGCTGTGACTCACTGTCGACTTGATGGCACCTACCAACCAGTGAAGCAGCCGCCTGGAGAGGACTGAGGCCACTCAGGTCACTTTCTGTAGGATTCACTTCTCAGGCTTGAGGGGAATGGCTGCAGAGCATGCTGGGAAGGGTAGTGCGTGCGAGAATTATTTTAAAATCAGTCTGCTAGTGGGCCATATTTTATGATCTAAAATGGGAAGTATGTTGTAAAATGTAGCCTCAATCACCAGGAACAAAATTAATTCCTTTTTGGAAAAATATGAAAATACTAAGATCCCTGAGAGTTGCAGTCTGTGCTTTGCTCGCCCAAACGTTGGCTTGCCCGAGCTCCCCAAGCTGCTCTGATTCCGCGAAGATTACTTAACCTACTGCGGCAGCCTGTAGCCACCCTGGAGGACAGGGCAGAACTTTCCACAGGATTCCTGAGGCTGCAATCTTTCCTGGGACAGAAAGCCCGGGCAGAGCCCCACCTTTTCTCCCTGCAGTTGCTGGTGGCTGCAAACTGGTGACTTTTTGGCTAGTGGTTCGTTGCTTAGCACACTGCCTCACCAGCCCTCCTCCACAGCCAGAATCAAAACCAAACACTGAAACACCTTATGGGGCAATTCTATTCTGTACCACAAGGGTCTGTCATGAGTTGGAAGTGACTCAGTGACAACAGGTTAGAATTCACAGAAGGTGGAGGTAGGTGAAACGTGGATCAGTGTTCCATCCCTCACTGGTCTGTAAACCAAAAGTGATGAAGACACTATGGACAGCTGTGAGGTGGAGAGATGTGCCATCTTCCAGCCAGACCCCACACATAACTAGTCTCCCTGTCAGTACAGCTCTGTGGGGGTGAAAAACAGGCTCTCCATCCTATCTCACCATGTGCACTTAAAAGGTGGAAAAGAAAAAAAAAAGCAGCAAGGTATCTTTATCGACACTTTGAAAATCAAACAGGCTGACCACAAAGAATGGTTAAGAAACTTGAGTGTTTTATTTTGTACTGTAAAAAAAAAAAAAGAGATAGAGACAGAAAGAGAAAGAGACAGAGAGACAGAAAGAGAAAGCAGCAGCCTAGGTCATTGATTGGTTTGAATAAACATTATTCCCCCTCCTGGTAATATTTGTTAACTTTTAACTTCCCATTCAAAAACTTCCTAACTTCAAGTACTTGAAATGTACTTAATTTTTTCCTGCTTTTAGAAAGGACACTCGCAAAAAAGAAAGGACACTCCCATAATATTCAGCTGAATTACAAAGTTGAAGAATTTATTTTAAAACAAAGTAAAAATCTTTAGTCACATGGAATTGAAACAAATGGGTAATTTCCTCATTGCATGGGTACTAACTTTCATTTTCCTGAAGTACAGAAAGTAGGGGAAAAACCAGGCATACCTGTACAATTCAGATCAAAGATGAGAATGCCGTTTTTAAAATGAATGCTAAGGCAGGCCTACCTCTCTTAGTTCGTTAGAGCTGCTATGACAGAAATACTGCAAGTGGGTGGTTTTAACAAACAGAGCTTTATTCACTCACTGTTGAGGAGGCTAGATGTTTGCATTTGGGGTTCTGGCTCTAGTGGAAGTCTTTCTCTCTGTGTCAGCTCTGGAGGAAGGATGGTCCTTGTTCTTCAAGGTTTCGATTCCTGGGCAATCGATCTTCATGTGGTCTGTAACTATCTTCCTCCTTCTCCTCTGAGTACTTTATCTGCCCCTTTCATATGGTGTAAGAGATTGACTCAAGACACACCCTACACTAATCCTGCTTCATTAACCAAATAGAACCCATTCCAAAATGGGTTTACAACCACAGGTATAGGGGATTAGGATTTAAAATACATCTTTTTAGGGGGACATAATTCAATCCATAACATTCCACCCTTGGCCCCCAAAATTCATGTCCTTGCCACATGCAAAACACATTCACCCCATCACACCATCCCAAAAGTCTTAAATCAACTCCAACTCCAAAATCTCATCTTCTGAATCATCTAAATCAAATATGGGGCATATTCCATCATGGGGCAAAATTCCTCTTCATCAGTGAATCTATGAAATCTAGAATACAAGTCATCTGCTTCCAAAATACAATAGTAGAACAGGTATAGGTAGACATTCCCAGTACAACGGGAAAAACTGGAGGGCAATAAAGAGTAATAGGCACCAAGCAATCCTAAAATCCATCAGAACAAATTACATTAGCTCTCAAGGCTTGAGAAGAATCTCTTCTCTGAGATCAGGTGGGCAGTGACCCAGTCCTGCAGACTCTGGGTGCTGGTCACCTCAGGGTATTGGGTGGAGGCCCCTGAGCCCTGGGCTTTAGTTCCGCTTTCCAAGCCCATTGGGATGTCAAGTCAGCTCTCTGGCTTTAGAAGGTCCCGTTCCTCTAGTCCATGTGAGTGGCGACCTCATTTCCATGGCCTCACAGACCCCCTTCTTCTGCCTCTTAGACAGGGTAGTGCTGCCTACTCAGCTTTGAGTGATGGCCCCATCACCCTAGCACACTTTAATGGCAGCTCCACACTCCAAGTTGGTGAAGACTCAACTCTGAAATCTAGGAGCTGCAGGCCCACCTTTTGAGATCCAGAAGTCCGTGGCCTCACCCATTGAAACAGAAAAAGCTCGGCTTCCTGTGCTCTTTGTAACAGCTCTGCTGGTCTCTGACCTGTTCCAAGGAGGGTCCTCTTCTTTTCTTGAAGGATAAGAGATGTAGTTCTTTTGACCTGTTTTCTGCCTGCTGAATTCCAAAAGGCAGACAGAATTCTTTCCTTTCATTCTTTCTTTAACCTCTTTAGTCTAAATTGATAGGTTTTCCACTGTGTTCGTTGATTAGATCCTTCAGTTGGGACTATCTCTTTAACATAAGATTGTGTGGTCACATCTAGGACACATGTCCTCAATTTGTGCCACAGAATTTTCCAACTGTTTTGTTTTCATTTGACACAGTTAATTTTTAAGTTCATCTTGTTCCTCTTGCATTTTACTATAAGCAACAAAGAGAAACAAATCACAGACTCTTTGAAGATCTCACTTAGAAATCTAATCATCCTGATATCCAAATTATTCACTTACAAGTTCTACTTTCTACCAAACATTTAAACATAACCAGACAAATTCTTTGTTATTGCATAGAAAAATTTCCTTTCCTGTACTGTCCAATCACATGCTCGTCATTTTCTTTTAAAATCTATCAGAAGCACACTTAGCATCCACATTTCTAGCAACATTCTGTATGTTTTCTCTAAGACAATAGAGGTTTTCTCTATAGCTTTCCTTACTTTTAAAATCTCGGCTGAATTGTCTTTCATGCCCCCAATTCCAGTTAACTGTCTCTTCAAGGCAGTCCAGGCTTATATTGTTAAGCATCTAAAACACTTTCAGCCTCAATCTACTACTCAATTTCAAAATCACCTCCATCTATGTTGTAGGTGTCTGTTAAAGCAACACCCTCACTCTTCCAGTCCTAAGTTATCTAGGGCTGCAATAACAGATATACCACAAGGGGGTGGCTTTAACAAACAGAAATTTATTATTTGGGAGGCTAGCTGTATGAATTGAGGGCACTGACTCTAGGGAAGGCTTTCTGTTGGCTCTGAAGGAAGGAAGGTCCTTGTTTTAACTGAGTTTCTGCCTCTGGGATGATCTCTGTGTGGTTTGGAATCTCTCTTTCCCTATCACTGATTGTTTATTCTGCCCTTTTATTATACTGTAACTCTGCCTCATCAGTGTAACAAAGACAACCTACTCCCAAATGATATCCCTATAGGCACAGAGGTGAGAATTTGTAACATACATTTCTAGGAGACACAATTCAATCCGTAACACTGCCCCATGCTTATCTCCATTTCCTTGGCTGCTGAAAGTTATCTTGAGAGGAGCTACAGTCCTACCTGCTCTTACCAGGGACCCTGGCCTCTGGAGGGCACCTGCTCATTGTCACTTGTCATGAAATGTGCAGTCTGTTATCCTGGGCTTCACATACAATTTCAGAAACTCAGATGATACTAAGGGACTTGAGGACCACATTGACTTGGCCTCAATCTTTTTTTAGTTCAGTTTGGCACATGTCCCAAATGAAATTAAACTTGAAGTTAAAAGTATCAGTAGCGATAGAGCTGAGTGCATCTGTGGACTGTCTGGTGCCCAGTGATGTGCACAGCTTAGGTACAGCAAGCTGAGTTGCCCACGGCCAAGGTGAACACAGACACCTGCTGTTTTCCTGCCCAGGAGAGCTACTCTGGGGCAAAGAACACTGGGTGCTGGCCTCCAGGGGTTGAGGTTACTCGGAGGATCTTTAAAGGCCAGGCATGCAGCCCCGCACCCACTTCTCAGTCTCAGAAAGCATGGATGTTACCTGACTGTGACTCACAGGCTAAGAAGGGCTCACATTAGAGCCGAGGACCCTGGGCCTTCTGTTCCATCAGCTCCTCTCACTTTCAGTCTCTTGCTACATCATCCTGGGAAAGACAGTGGGTCAGCAAGAGAGAGGAAGACCCTCAAAGTGGACTGACACTCAGACTGTGACAACTGGCTTGCGTGTGGCAGAGACTGGGATGATAGGGCCAAGCCTAGACAGGGCAAGGTGTGGACCTGCGGTTCCTAGAGGCATTATGAGTTGAGGCCGATGCGATGGCACCTAACGACAACGATGACAACTGCTTGCTGGTGTGAACTGCACGTTGGATTTTTGGTTTCTGGTATAAAGGTGTCCGGAGAGAAGGCACTAGATGGCTAAGTCATCTGCTCTGGCCCGCCCACTGCTGGACTTACTGGCCTTGCTGGCCCGGCCAGGGTCGCTGAGGAGCAGAGGAGGCGTGTGCATGTCCACCGTGGCGGTCCCTGCTGGCACCTCCTCCTCAGGAGTCTCTCCCAGTTTGCTTTCTCCCAAGCTGCTGGAGCTCCCGTTCACCAGAAGGAGAGGCACGTGATTGTGAGCCCTGCCCTCCAAGGGCAATGGTGGAGTGCTGCTCAGGGGAGAGGGGGCTGCGGAGGCGGGCATTGGCAGGCTCCCCTTCCTCTCAGAAGCCTGCTGCTCAGCCTCCTGGTTGACCCAGTTCTGCTCATTCATCAGCAGGTTGCAGCTGTTGTAGTATCTGGCAGGGTGGCCTTTTCCATGATCCTCGGCCAGGGCTACCATTTTGAAATCCGCTGGGGGTGGTGGGGCTCCAGGATATCCTGTGGCCGCTGTCTGCCCCAGGGAAGAGGCAGAATGGGTGTAATAAGGCGGAAATCCGATGGTGACAGTGGCTGGAGTGGACTGGGTTGGGAGGAGGAGTGGACTGATCCCTGCGGGCTTTGTGGCCACCAGGCTGGCTTCGGCGGCATGCGGGCTGTAATGGTTGGTCATGCCCTGCTTGAGTTTTTTCCAGCCCAGGTGGTAGATCTCCAGCATATTGAGGAGGAGAGACACACAGGCCACTACCAGCATGAAGATGATGAAGATGGTCTTCTCTGTGGGTCTGGAAATAAAGCAGTCCACCGTGTTGGGGCAGGGCCACCGGTCACAGCGGTAGAGGGGCCTCAGCTCAAAGCCATAGAGGAAGTACTGGCCAACAATGAAGCCGACCTCAAAGAGAGTCTTAAAGATGATGTTGAAGACGTAGGTGCGCAGCAGAGCGCCTGCTATGCGGACTCTGCCTCGGTCATCCCTGACGGGTGCCTTCTCTCTCTTCCCTGTCCTACCCGGCAGCTCCTGGGCCCCAGCCCCCGGGTGCTGGCTGTCTCTGCCCAGCAGCTCCTCCTCGCGCTCCTTCTTCTTCTCCTCCATACGCACGATGTGCAGCACGTGGCCCAGGTAGATCAGTGTGGGCGTGGAGACGAAGATGATCTGCAGCACCCAGAAGCGGATGTGGGAGATAGGGAAGGCCTGGTCGTAGCAGACATTCTCGCAACCGGGCTGCTGGGTGTTACATGTGAAGTCGGACTGCTCATCCCCCCACACTTCCTCAGCCGCGGCTCCCAGCACCAGGATCCTGAAGATGAACAGCACTGTCAGCCAGACCTTGCCAACCACAGTGGAATGCTCTTGTGCATTCTCTAGCAGCCTTCCCAGGAAGCTCCAGTCACCCATTGCTCCAGACTGCTGACCTGCAACGAGAACATGGCTTGTTAATGAACAGATGCAGAGAAGCTGAGGGATCCAACCACCTAGCGGATCCAAATACCACTGACTGACAAGACTCACTGGGTGGAACAGTTTACGCTAGATTACTAACCTAAAGGTTGGTGCCTGCAAGTCAGAGGCACTGCTGAAGAAAGGTCTGGTGATCTGCTTCCATAAAGATTGTCCTTAGGTGCTGACAAGCTGAGTACGACCCACAGCGACCCTATGAACAACAGATCTGAACTCTACCCTATCCTGTGTCAGCCTCATCTCTGACAGACTTGAGCTGCAGTCACTGTGTCAATCCATCTGGTTGAGGGTCCTCCTCTTTTTCACTGTCCCTCCACTTTTCCAAGCATGATATCCCTTCTCCAAGGAACAGCCAGCCTCTCCTAGCAACATGTCCAAAGTATGAGAGAGGAAGCTTTATCATCTTTGCCTCCAAGGAGCACTCTGGCTGCACCTTCTCTGAGACATAACTGTTTGTCCTTTTGGTAGTCCATGGGATAGTCATATTCTTCTCCAACACCACATCCCAAAGGCATCCATTTTTCTTCTGTCATTCTTATTCACTGTCTAGCTTTCAGATGCAGAGCAAGTGGCTGAAAAGACTATGGCCTGAATCAAGTACATAACAATCCTCATACTGACATTGTTGCTCTTCAATAATTGGGAGAGGTCCCTAAGAGGTCCATGAAGATTACAGTCCACAGAACTCTCTGGACCAGTTTTATTCTGTAATACCTCGCATTTCTGAGTCAGACGGACTCCAAAGCCAGAGATTTGCTTTTGCTGGAGGGTAGCTTACTGAGTAGCTATAAGGCCACTTCCAAACATGGATGGAACTCTTGCCAGGATTGCAGGTTTGGCCTTAATATGGACATTGTTGTTGTTGTTGTTGTTGTGTGTACCAGAGTCAGAAATGACCAATAACTGACCCTCCAGCAGGTTTACAGAGTCAGTTAATCACATGGGAGGAGACAGCCTATCCTGCCATGAAGCAGCTGGTGGCCTTGAACTGCGTGCCTTCAGGATTACAACACAGCTTCTTGCTGCTAGGCCACCAGAGCTCCCTTTGTATATAACCCACTGCTGGGGAGTCAAGTCTGATTACAGCATCCTCCACCAGGCTATCAAGGCTTTAAGTCTATCTTTTCAGGAGGAGACTGTCTTTCTCCCATGGCATGAATTATGGATTTGAAATGATAGTTTGGTTAACAACCTGACATGTTATCTACTATGCCACCAAGGCTCCTTAGCTTTTGTCTATACATAGACAATTAAACAAAAACAAAAAGTAAAAAATAAAACCCAAACTAGGCAATTCTGCAACCCAGAGACAGTAAAAAATAAAACCCAAACTAGGCTGTAATCAAGGATGCTTTGGGCAGAATATTAAATGATCCAGGAAGTATTAAAAGAAGATGGAAGGAATATACTGAGTCATTATATAGAAAGGAATTGG